CACAGGGTGATCGGGGTTTATCGGGCAGTGTTGGAGCACAGGGTGATTGGGGTTTCTCAGGTAGTCATAGAGATGTACAGCATGGAAACAGATCCTTCGGTCCAACTCATTCATGCTGACCAGATGTCCTACATAAATCTCGCCCTATTTGCCAGCATTTGGTCCATATCCCTCAAAACCCTGCCTATTCATATAGCAATCCAGGTGCCTTTTAAATGTTGTAATCATACCAGCCTCCACCACTTTCTCTGGCAGCTCATTCCATACATCCACCACCCTCTACATGAAAAAGCTGCCCCTTAGGCCCCTTTTATATCTTTCCCCTCTCACCTTAAACCAATGCCGTCTAGTTTTGGACACCCACACCCTGGGGCAAAGACCTTGACTATTTACCCTATCCATGTCTTTAATGATTTTATAAACTTCTTTAAGGTCACTCCTCAGCCTCAAACACTCCAGGGAAAATAGCTCCAGCCTGTTCAGCCTCTCCCTGTAGCTCAAACCCTCTAACCCTGGCAACATTGTTGTAAATCTTTTCTGAACCCCTTCTAGTTTCACAACATATAAAGGAGGGAGACCAGAATTGCACACAGTACTCCAAAAGTGGCCTAACCAATGTCCTGTACAGCCGCAACATGACCTCCCAACTCGTATGTTCAGTGCACTGACCAATAAAGGGAAGCATACCAAACATCATCTTCACTATCCTATCTACCTGCGAGTCCACTTTCAACCAACTATGAACCTGCACTCCAAAGTCTCTTCGTTCAGCAGCACTTCCCAGGACCTTACCATTAAGTGTATAAATCCTGCCCTGATTTTCCTTTCCAAAATGCCACACCTCATACATATCTGCATTAAACTCCATTTGTCATTCCTTGGCCCATCGGCCCACCTGATCAAGATCCCGTTGTACTCTGGGGTAGCCTTCTTCACTGTCCTCTACACCTCCAATTTTAGTGTCATCTGCAAACTTACTAACCATACCTCCTGTCTTCACATCCAAATCATTTATATAAATGACAAAAAGCAGTGGACCCAGCACCGATCCTTGTGGCACAGCACTGGTCACAGGCCTCCAGTTTGAAAAGCAACCCTCCACCACCACCCTCTGTCTTCTACCTTTGAGCCAGTTCCGTGTCCAAGTAACTAGCTCTCCTTGTATTCCATGTGATCAAACCTTGCTAACCAGTCAACCATGAGAAACCTTGTTGAATGCCTTACTGATGTCCATATAGATCACATCCATTGCTCTGCCCTCATCAGTCCTCTGGGTAGTGTTGGAGCTCAGAGTGGTCAGGGTTTAGCGGGTAGTATTGGAGCTCAGGGTGATTGGGGTTTTGGGTTATGTTCAGGCTCTGGGTGATTGGGGTTTCACAGGTAGTGTTCAGGCTCTGAGTGGGGAATCAGACCAGTCTTTGGTAAGCATATTTATAAGTGATGGGATTTTTCTGTATAGAAGTGTGTGTTAGTTATTTTAAAAAGTAACATTTTTGCTGACTTATGCTTTGTGTCAGTTTAATTATTGTGGTGTCTAGGAAATTAATGCAATGCTTGTATGCTGCAGCTTTAATTTCAATGGAGCAGTGATGATTATTAAGGATATTGATAAATTATTCTTATTCTGCTTCTGTGAGAGTCTAAATACCCTATGTTGTCAATAGCTCAAGGCTGCATGGATTCAAGAGTTACTACAATATCTGGGAAGATGCAGTAGTTACTGTTGTCTTGAATGCTGTTAGTTATTAAATGCAAATCTGTTTTTGCAATACAACAGAAGGATAGTTACTGTCGGTTAAAATCTTCCAGATTTGCATTTGTGCAATGGAAACACATTAGCTGTGATTTCGTTAGTCTGTAGATGGCTTGTTTAAAGTGATGGCTTTTTCTGTGTTGAAGTGCGTGTCAGTTATTTTGACGAAAACTTTTGTTGCTGCCTTACATGTGTTGTCTTATGCCAAATTAAATCCTGTGGTGTCTAGGATGTTTTCATTGTGTGTTATGAATTTAATGGAGAGTTTATGATTTTTGAGAATATTGAAGATTTCTTCTAATTCTGTTTGTGAGTTCAAACACCCCGCAAATCAACACAAATACGGATGATATAGTTTTAAATTACTAGATCACCTAGTAATGTAGTTAATGAGAATGAAAAAGGAGCCTCTGAAAGTCAAAAGGTAGGTCTCATGAACATCTGAATTAGAGTCATCTAAACATAAAATTATGTTACCCCTGTTTGAGATGTATAGAAGTTGTATCTTCAATGGAGGGATGAGGCGGAATGGGGTGTACACAGGTTTCTGAGGGAGATATACACATTGCGAGGGAACATATACGTTTGGGGGTTAGGACCTGTGTTTTAGGGGCTGGGCACAGGTTTGGGGGTGTAGATGTTGTGTGTATGGGGCTTTTTACAGGTTCAGGGGGTGCAAGAGCAGCATTTCCTCTCATTTTCTTGCCTCCTCTTGTCATTTGTATGATAGTTACTTCCAAAACCAAAAGTCAATGCTGTGATCAGCGTGTTGATGCCGGTTGCTATACACAAGACTTCAAACCTTAGACAGAACATTTTGCAAAAATTTTTTGTTCAGGTGTTAGGAGTGTACAAGTTTCAGTGGATGCACACATGTTTTAGGGAGGTGGTGGAGTTAGGAGTTATGTGTTGAAAGAATGTGATCATACATTTGGTGGGGGTGTTACAAGTTTAGTGTTCGGTCATATGGACTCGTTTGCGAGGTCATGTACACAAATTTAAGGTGCAGTGATTTTTGGAGCGGAGCTGGACATGTGTTTGGGAGTTGTGTTTTCTGGTTCGGGCTGTGACAGGTTAGACATGGAAGATGAGTAAGATGTCTGCTTGGGGTTTATGTATACTGATTTGGGAGTATTGTTCAGGTTTGGCAGGGAGTGAGAGCTTGGATTTGTGTGTTGATCTTCTACTTTGAGCCACTTCTCATTTTCTTTCTTGTATGTTTACAGCTGGAATTGCTGGAGGTCAGAGTGCAGAAGCAGCAGCTGCTGATTGGAGAAAGTGTGATGGTGTTGCCAGGATCCTGGCTTCCTGTCCTCAGCAATGTCTGTCTGTTGAACAATACTACAGGCAGGTATGCCCTCAGGTAAAGACCGGAAATTTTTCAAATTATGTGTTCATTCAGAAATCAGAGAACACATAAGTAGGGCCAGTATAGGTGGAGGTACATGGTTGGGGAGTGTGGCTTGATTGTTTGGGCACAAACTGAGAAATAAGAAAGCAATTATCACCTTATTGGCATTGTATTATAGGTCCCCTAATAGTCACTGGAAGATTGAGAAGCAAATTTGTAAGGAGATCTCCGATATCTGTAAGAATAATAGGGTTGTAATGGCAGGGGATTGTAACTTTACAAACATAGACTGGGACTGTCGTAGTGTTAAGGGCTTAGACGGGGAGGAATTTGTTAAGTGTGTACAAGAAAACCTTCTCAATTAATATGTGGATGTATCTACTAGAGAAGGAGCAATACATAACCTTCTGTTAGGAAATAAGGCAGGGCAGGTGTCAATGTGGAAGCACTTTGGGGCAATGATCATAATTCTATTAGTTTTAAAACAGTTATGGAAAAGGATAGAATTGATTCAAAAGTTAAAGTTCTAAATTGTAGTAAGGTCCGTTTTCATGGTATTAGACAGGAGCTATTCACAGGTAACGGGACAGTTGGGAAGTGAGAAGCCTTTAAAATAGAATTCAGAAACAGTACGTACCTGTTAATGTGAAGAACAAGGCTGGTAGGTGTAGGGAATGCTGGATGACTAGAGAAATTGAGGCTCAGGTCAAGAAAACGGAGGAGGCATATGTAAGGTATGGACAACTGAGATCGAGTGAATCCCTAGAGGAGTATAAAGGCAGTAGGCATTGGTCTAGTGGTATTATCGCTAGACTATTAATCCAGAAACCCAGCTGATTTTCTGGGGACCTGGGCTCGAATCCCACCACAGCAGATGGTGAAATTGGAATTCAAAAAATATAGTCTGGAATTAAGAACCTACTGATCACCATGAAATCATTGCAGATTGTCGGAAAAACCCATCTGGTTCACTAATGTCCTTCAGGGGAGGAAATCTGCCACCCTCACCTGGTCTGGCCTATATGTGACTCCAGATCCACAGCAATGTAGTTGACTCTCAACGGGCCTCTGAAATGGCATAGCAAGCCACTCAGTTGTCCCAATCGATACAAAGACTCAAAGAAATGAAAGTGGACGGATCACCTGGCATCAACCTAGGCACCAGAAAAGACAACGGCGGAAACAGCCCCGTCGACCCTGCAAAGTCCTCCTCTCTAACATCTGGGGGTTAGTGCCAAAATTGGGAGAGTTGTCTCACAGACTAGTCAAGCAACAACCTGACATAGTCATACTCACAGAATCATACCTTACAGACAATGTCCCAGACACCACCATCACCATCCCTGGACATGTCCTGTCCCACCGGCAGGACAGACCCAGCAGAGGAGGCGGCACAGTGATATACAGTCGGGAGGGTGTTGCTATAGGAGTCTCCAACATTGACTCCAAACCCCATGAAGCCTCATGGCTTCAAGTTAAACATGGGCGAGGAAACCACCCGCTGATTACCACATACCATCCTCCCTCAGCTGATGAATCAGTACTCCTCAATATTGAACAACATTTGGAGGAAGCACTGAGGTTGGCAAGGGCACCAAATGTACTCTGAGTGGGGGATTTCAATGTCCACCACCAAGAGTTGCTCGGCAGCAGTACTACTGTTTAGCTGCTCGGGTCCTAAAGGACATGGCTGCTAGACTGGCTCTGCAGCAGGTGGTGAGGGAACCAACAAAAGGGAAAAACATACTTGACCTCGTCCTTATTAGTCTGCCAGCTGCAGCTGCATCTGTCCATGACAGTATCGGTAAGAGTGACCATTGCACAGTCCTTGTGGAGACAAAGTCCTGCCTTCACATTGAGACCAACCTCCATCGTGTTGTGTGGCACTATCACCGTGCTAAATGGGACAGACTTCACACAGATCTAGCAACTCAAGACTGGGCATCCATTAGGTGCCATGGGCTATCAACGGCAGCGGAATTGTACTCCAGCATAATCTGTAACCCCATGGCCCGGAATATCCCCCACCCAACCATTACCAATAAGCCAGGGGATCAGCCCTTGTTCAATGAAGAGTGCAGGAGGGCATGCCAGGAGCAGCACCAGGCATACCTGAAGATGAGGTATCAACCTGGTGAAGCCACCAAACAGGACTACTTGCACACCAAACAGCGAAAGCAGCAAGTGATAGGCAGAGCTAAGCAATCCCACAACCAACGATCAGATCTAAGCTCTGCAGTCCTGCCACATTCAGCCATGAATGGTGGTAGACAATTAAACAACTCACTGGAGGGGAAATATCCCCATCCTCAATGGTGGAAGAGCCCAGCACATTGGTGCAAAAGACAAGGCTGAAGCATTTGCAGCAATCTTCAGCCAGAAGTGCCGAGTGGATGATCCATCTTGGCCTCCTCCAGTGGTCCGCAGCATTACAGAAACCAGTCTTCAGCCAATTCGATTCACTCCACATGATATCAAGAAACACTGGATACTGCAAAGGCTACGGGCCCTGACAACATTCCGGCAATAGTACTGAAGACTTGTGCTCCAGAACTTGCCGCTCCCCTAACCAAGCTGTTCCAGTACAGTGACAACACTGGCATCTACCCGACAATGTGGAAAATTGCCCAAGTATGTCCTGTAGACAAAAAGCAGGACAAATCCAACCCGGCCAAATACCACCCCATCAGTCTACTCTCGATCATCAGTAAAGTGATGGAAGGTGTTGTCAACAGTGCTATCAAGCAGCACCTGCTCATTGACACCCAGTTTGGGTTCTGCCAGGGCCACTCAGCTCCTGACCTCATTTCAGCCTTGGCCCAAACATGGATAATAAGAGCTGAATTCCAGAGGTGAGGTGAGAGTGATAGCCCTTGATATCAAAGCTGTACTCAACCGAGTGTGGCATCAAGGAGCCCTGGCAAAACTGGAATCAATGGGTATCAGGGGGCAAATGCTCAGGTGGTTGGAGTCACACCTGACACATAAGAAGATGGTCGTGGTTGTTGGTGGTCAATCATCTCAGCTCCAGGACATCTCTACAGGAGTTCCTCAGGGTATTGTCCAAAGCACAACCATCTTCAGCTGCTTCATCAATGACCTTCCCTCCATCATAAGGTCGGAAGTGGGGATGTTCACTGAAGATTGCACAATGTTCAGCACCATTCATGACTCCTCAGATACTGAAGCAGTTCATGTTCACATGCAACAAGATCTGGACAATATCCAGGCTTGGGCTGATAAGTGGCAAGTGACGTTGTGCCACACAAATGCCAGACTATGACCATCACCAATAGGAGCCAATCTAATCACCCTCCCTTGCATCACTGAATCCCTCACTATCAACATCCTGGGGGTTACCATTGACTAGAAACTCAACTGGACTCACCACATTAACAGAGTGGCTACAAGAGCAGGCCAGAAGCTAGGAATACCGCAGAGAGTTACTCACCTCCTGACTCCCCAAAGCCTGTCCACCATCTACAGGGCACAAGTCAGGAGTGTGATGGAATACTCCCCACTTGCCTGGATGAGTGCAGCCCCATCAACACTCAAGAAGATTGACACCATCCAGGACAAGGCAGCCCGCTTGATTGGCACTCCCTCCACCATTGACGCTCAGTAGCAGCAGTGTGTACTATGTACAAGATGCACTGCAGAAATTCACCAAAATCCTCAGACAGCACCTTCCAAACCCACGACCACTTCCATCTAGAAGGACAAGGGCATCAGACATGGGAACACCACCACCTCCAAGGCCCCTCCGTCACTCACCATTCTGACTTGGAAATATATCGCCATTCCTTCACTGTCGCTGGGTCAAAATCCTGGAATTCCCTCCCTAATGGCATTGTGTGTCAACCCACAGCAGGAGGACTCCAGCGGTTCAAGAAGGCAGCTCACCACCACCTTCTCAAGGACAACTGGGGATGGTCAATAAATGCTGGCCAGCCAACGACACCCACATCTCCCAAATGAATAGAAAAAAAAGTAGGTGTATACTTCAGAGGGAAATCAGGAGGGTAAAAAGAGGACATGAGATAGCTTTGGCAAATCGAGTTAAGGAGAATCCGAACAGATTCTTAAGGGCAAAAGAGTAACTTGGGAGAGAACAGCTCCTCCCACAGATCTACTTGCCATCTATGAGTGGAATCACAGGTGGTGGGTGAGATACAAAACAAGTATTTTGCATCTGTATTTACTGAGGAGAAGGACATAGAAGCTGGGGAAATAAATAGTGATGTCTTGAAAAGAGTTCATTCTACAGAAGAGGAGTGTTGATGTCTTAAAACGCATAAAGGAAGATAAATCCCCGGGATCTGATCAGGTGTTTCCCAGAGCTTGTGGGAAGCTTGGGAAGAGATGCTGGGCCCCTTGCTGAGATATTTGTACCATCCACAGCCACGGATGAGGTGCCGGAAGACTGGAGGTTGGCTAATGTGGTGCCTTCATTTAAGAAAGGCTGTAAGGAAAAGCCAGAGAACTGTGGACTGGTGAGGCTCAGCAGTGGTGGGTAAGTGGTTGGAGGGGATTCTGAAGGGAAATTACATGCGTTTTAAAAGGAAAGGATTGATTAGGGATAGTCAACATGGCTTTGGGAAATCGTATCTTACTAACTTGATTGAATTTTAGAAAAGCTTACAAAGAAGATTGATGAAGGCAGAGTGACAGACGTTGTCTATATGGACTTCAGCAAAGCATTCGACAAGGTTCTGCAGGGTACGCTGATTAGTAAGGTTAGATCACATGGGATCCAGTGGGAACTAGCCAATTGGATACAAAATGTCTAATTGGTGGGTGGAGGGTTGCTTTTCATAGTGGAGGCCTGTGACCAGCAGTGTGCCACAAGAATTGGTGCTGGGTTCATTGCTTTTCCTCATTTAGATAAATGATTTGAATGTGAATGTAGGAGGCATGGTTAGTAAGTTTGCAGATGACACCAAAATAGGTTGTGTACTGGACAGTGAAGATTATCTCAGAGTACAATGGAATATGATCAAATGGGCCATGGA